CATACATATGCATATATGGAAGGAGTATGAAATTGATTGTGCATGTTGAAAGCGGAGTACCAAATATGGTGCGAAAGCACAAATATGGCTCTTATGAGCAAAACAGGAATAATATGGCCCTTTGGGGCAAAAGAGGAAAAGAAATAAATGGCCAAAAAGATGTTTGTGTACCTGATCAGTACACTCATGGTACTCCAGTACGGTTGTATAAAATAAAATATGAGTAAGCATATGATATTCATAAGCTATGATATAAGCTACGACATCCATAAGACACATAACATACATATGACATATAACATTCATAAGGCATTAAACATTCATAAGACATGAAAAATTAGCATGTGTATTAAAATAAACAAGGCATTTCACCACTAGCATGTAATGTGAATTTTCATTTAACAAGGCATGTGAAAATGTTAGGATTAGATAATTCCTATTGAGTGTTAGCTGGCTCCCTCGTGTTGGGATACTTTTCAGGAGAACTTGCTGCAAGAAATGACTGACAACTCAAGGTTCACCTGCAGTCGTCGAGTACCGGCCGACAGGTTCTTTTGATGTTTTTCTTAGTTATAGTTTTCTCCTTTTGGGTGGTTTTGGCATGCATGTTAAGACTTGTAACCACCTTTGTGTAAATGAATTCTCTTTTGATATGACATGAAGTGTTAAATGTATGTTTGGAAAAATTTTAGAGGCGTTTTTAGTTTCTTGTGGGGAATTTTAGATTAATTCAATGCATATGTAAAGAATAAAGGTTTATGTTCTAAACGTCCGATTCCGTTCCCATCTCGTCTACACGAGCTAACCGGGCTGGGTCGTGACATGTAATTCCTCGAACTGTGATATGCAATAATAATGGCCATTACAGGGGTTAAAGGCATTGAAAAAAATTTCTTTAACTTTTTTATGTCAGATTAAAGATTGGATAAATCTTGATTTTTGTATGATTGGCCCATAAAATATGGCTTGTAGGATTGAAGTTGATTGAACTTGATGGCCAAATTTGTGTATGCTCATAATTAAGGTCTGAGAGTACTATGCATACTTAAAATTATATGAATACAAACTAGGCCGCCTCTAGAAGTGTGTAACCACCCCAAAAGGCATTAATGACTTTAAAGTCTTACAACTCCTTTTTCAAAGTTAAATTCACCAATAAATAAATATGCTTTCAAGCTGGCTGCACTATGTATAGATCATAGTCACAAGTGCCACACTTTAAATCCTATCCTCGCACCTATCCTCTTTGCAAGGATAGGGATTGTCATGACTTGAGTTTAATGAAAGATGTTTAAACAATAAGTTTTAAATAGTTCAACATAAATCCTATTCCCTCGAATAAACATACGACTGTAAAATCCGCAAAGATATTTAGTTTATATTCATTTAAGGCCTTCAATTCCTTTTACAAAGAAAATTTATTACAAAAATGCGAACTCTTAAATTCATCGCTTATGTAGTAGCTCACAAAATTAATATTTGAACCCAATCAACTATTAACAAGTAAGTAGAGTTGATAAAGTTTAAGTAATAAAAAAAACCATTTGAATGCCCAATGATGGTTGTGTATGAATCTCAACTAGGGAGAGCTCTTTTTCTAAAATACCATCAAATCTCAAAGCAAATTATTGCGTGTTATAAATTTTTACAAAAATGTCAAAATTCAATAAAAAATAATATTCAAACGAAATCTATTAGATTAAAAACTTAAAGCAAAAATTTATCTCTCATTCTCAATCGTTTGTTGTGGATGAAAAATTGAAAGACAATATCAACTTTTAAAGATTCGATATCTTGTTGATTATATTGCTATGATTCTTTTTTAAATGATCTCTCGTCAGTAAGGATGTCACGCATATCCTTTAACTAATGGTCTTGTAATCAAATGACACAATGGATAAATGATTATGACCAATGCCCTCTAGCTGACGATTATGATTTGAACCCTCAAGTTCCCTAATGGTGAAAATCATCCTTGAATAATGAACCATAGGGTGTATTTGATAGGACACAAAGTTCTTAGGTAACTAAAGTCACTTTAAACCCATCCCCTTAGATAAACATCCACCATAGGCCTATCTAGTTCTCTTGGAGGAAGAAATCCATGTATGCTAACAAAGATCATTCGGTTAGGTTCGGTATACTACCTTTGCTGACTATATAGATTAGGGTCCATTATAACCATAGAGGACAAACTATGGGATCTTGATTTATTTTGTCATTATTCCCTTGTCCTTCGCTATAGAGGTAAAATTTCTAACCCTAAATCAAATTGTTGCTACTATATGCTAATCATTTCACTTTTTGTCACACCTCATTTTAACCCCTCTGCAGTTAAACTAGAGTGTAATAGAGAAGGAGAATCTGAACAGACCTTCTTCGTACTTACCCCTAATCTGAAATGCTGATATCAGAATTGGATAAGTAAAAAGTAGTCTATTCAAAGTATCATTAATACAATTAAACATAACACAGCAAGATTTTCATAATAGGAAATATATATAATATACCTCAAAAAATACATATCTTGATTTAAACAGAGCTTTAGTAAAACCTTTAAAACTTACTTACATATCCAAAAGTCTTTGTATAACTTACTTTTGAACCTCTATGCACACCAAAAAAGTATATACACCAAAAGAAAGATAGTCACTCTCTTACTGTCCTACGGGTTCCTCTCCTTTTCTTGTAGTACAACCACTGCAAATGAGCTCGGACTCAATGAAATACACAAGCCATGTATAAGAAATAATAATAACATTGTTAACAATTAAGAAATGCTTAACATTACTAATATGATTAGACATTAAAATGTCATATTGATCATAAGAAATGCATAACAGTACTGCCCATCTTGCCAACTGTTCAACACCTTTAAACAAGTCATATGATAGCTATAAGCTTTTGCTCGTCAGATCTTTCAGCTTTGCTTATGCAGGCTTATTCCTCATATATGACTTCTTTTACTTTCCCAATAACAATTCTTTTTAGTCCTCATAATATGATCATTATATATATATATATATATTCATACATGAATAAATTGGAGTAAACTTAAGTAAATGTGATCATAAACATAATAAAACTTCTTTATATTTTCCTTTATATTTCCTCTTCTTTACTATTGTTTGCTACCACTAAGATCTCTCCTTATAAAAATTCAGCAAACAACTCACTTTTCTTCCAGATTTTAGCTTTACAACGAACTTTTATCAATTTCAGCAACATTACAGCAGCTCTTATTCTTATTTCCACTGGTTCAGCACAAAACAATAAATAACATCCCTTCTCTTGATGATTTAAGCAAACAACTGTACTTTAAACAGCAGAAAACACTGATTTTAGTCCTTAAATTCAGCAACTGACCTGAATATCAAGAATTTCAGCTAGTAAAATCAATAACCACTGATTTCCTCTCATCTATGTTCTAGCTACAGCACTCTACAACAGTAGAAAGACAGCTGCTTCCTGATTTCTGAAGTCAGCCACAACAGCTAACAACACCAGCAATCCTCACAGATTTTCCCTCAGTCCAGCAATCTTCACGTTTTAGATATCTTGGATCAATTGTTCAAAGTGATGGTGAAATAGATTGGGATATTATCAGCAGAATTCAAGTTGGATGGTTGAAGTGGAGGAATGCATCGGGCTTGTTATGTGATAGAAATGTACCCCTCAAACTTAAGGGAAAATTCTATAAGATGGTAGTGAGGCCTGCAATGCTTTATGGTGTCGAATGTTGGCCATTAAAAGAGAAGCATAATACTAAGTTAAGTGTGGCAGAGATGAGAATGCTCAGGTGGATGAGTGGCTTTACCCTTAGAGATAGGATACGAAATGAGCATATACGTGAAAAGGTTGGAGTAGCTGCAGTAGAAGATAAAATTAGAGAGAGTCGCCTTAGATGGTTTGGTCACATAAAACGACGGCCTTTCGATGACCCGGTTAGGAGAGTAGAGGTATTAGATTTGACTTATGTTAAGAAAGGTAGGGGTAGACCTAAAAAGACTTGGTTAGAAAATATTAGGAATGACCTTTCTTTATTAGGTTTAAATGAGAATTTGACTTTTAATAGAACACAATGGAGAAAAAGGATTCATGTAGCCGACCCCACGTAGTGGGATAAAGGCTTGATGTTGTTGTTGTTGTTTTAACTCGGAGAGAACCAGTGACGGGTGTGAAGGAATGAGGGAAATGCTTTAGTGCTTAAGTCTCAATTTGATATATAATATTGCTATATCCCACTAGCACCATAATAACTCCATCAATTCCTATTGCTAGCTATATGATCCCACTCTCAATCATCAGTCCATTGCATGTGGGTTTTAGTGGAATTGCTGCAGTGTTTACAGAAATTAACAATTAATTTAAGTACTCTGTTAACAAATAACATTTAATTAAATGATATCAAATTGTTAATTAACTATTATTAAGCTATTAATGAATACTTATATACAATTATGTATCGAAATGTTTGGAATTTATATTAAAATTTAATGAAATTAGATTTGGCATTTTCATATTTGGGAGAAAATAGGGTAAAATTTTGTGGCAAATTGTGTGCTTACTTTTTGACAAACTTTTGAGTGTTAATACTTTTAACGATTAGTCCTAATTAGAACATCTTTTTCATAATTGGGAGAGCTAATTATTCATAGGAGATTGCATCTATGAGAAACCTTAAACTAAATTATAAATATTGTAAAATGAGGACGAAATCTCTAGATTTGTCCTATCTTCAATTTAACCTGTTTTCTAAAAACTTAACTTGGAAACACAAAAAACTCGCTCATCAAAGCTGGGATGAGATTTTTTGGAGCCCAAAACTACATGTTTGAAATGATAGCTGCTATTTATAATTTTCTTAAAAGTAGTGCATTTTGTGCTTCATATTATATTTTCTCATACTAATGTCACTTCTCATATTTTCGTGCTAAATTTTTCGTCAATTCAATATGCTTTACAAGATCCTCATGTTAAGTTGTCGTGGTCATTTTCAGCAACTAGTGATTTATGAGACGTCAGCATCAGAATTGGACATAATTCGAGACATTTCACGAACTTTCCCTTCACATGTATTCTTCCAGCAAAGGCATGGGCCAGGACAAAGATCCCTTTACAATGTTTTGAAGGCATACTCTGTATATGACAGAGACGTTGGATATGTTCAGGTTGGAAGTAAAATGTTTCTACCTTTTTAGAATATTCTATAGAAGTAACTAAAAAAAACTTATATAATCTATTTAACTCGATGACTTGAGTCCAGGGAATGGGATTCCTAGCCGGTTTGTTGCTTCTGTACATGAGTGAAGAAGATGCATTTTGGCTATTGGTAGCTTTACTAAAAGGAGCTGTTCACGCACCAATGGAAGGCCTGTACCAGGTAACCATATATATTCCAAAATGTGATTCTTATAAGACATTTTTTTTTTCTTGTTTGTTGCATGGTTCTTACGTACACCCTTGAAAATCATTAATGTACTGTATTGTTCCTAGTACCCATTTAGTTATTATTAGATGATGGTTTTAGATAAGTTGGAACATGGAAGATAAGTTTGATTGTTGGTTTATTTTTTGTGCCACTTTATTTTTTCTTTTATTTATCTTATTAAGTCAATGTGTCATACATTAAAATTAGGAGAGAGTAATTGAGCATAGATTACAATGTGATACTAATGTTTTTCAAAATAAGTTTGGATTCATGCTTGGTAAGTCTACTATGGAAGCCTTACATTTGTTGAGAGGTTTGATGAAGAAGTATTGAGGGAGTAAGGAGCATTTAAATATGATATTTATTGATTTAGAGAAAGCATATGATAAAGTTCTAAGAGAAGTGTTTTGGAGAGTTTTAGGAAAGAAAGGAGTTAATATTGCTTATATTCGAGTCATTAAAGATATGTATATAAGAACTATTATTTATGTTCAAACACAAGGTGGTTTGACCAAACATTTTCCTAATTCAGTTAGATTACATCAATAATCAGATTTAAGCCCATATCTTTTTGCTTTAGTCAAAGATGTTCTTACTAGACATTTGCAAGAGGATATACCTTTGTATATGCTTTTTGCTAATGATACTCTAAGTACTCTTCTTATTGATAAGATTGGAGAGGGAGTTGATAAAAAACTTGAATTATGAAGATCAATCTTAGAGTTTAAATGTTTTTCGTTTCTGTAGATTTAAAATTGCATACATGAAGTGTAATTTTAGTAATAATAAATCTAGTTGTGCGATTAAGAAGCATAAACACTTATAATATTAATAATCTTAGCATCAATTACAATCTTTAAAATTATAATTCTAACTCCAAATCCACTAATTTTTATAACTTTATTCTTTAAACTCTTATCTATATTCAAACTTACATTATTTCTAGTACAAATCCCATCAAAATATCATAATTTAAATCCTGAATTATCAATCTTTTTAGCTTTCTCTTCAACTCATTTTGTTTCTTGAATGCATAGAATATTTATCTTCCTATGAAACAGAGGGAACGAAGGAGATCCGAGAGTGAGGAAGCTGAAGATGCCTGTTTTTGAGGGAGAGGATGGATCTATATGATGGAAAGATATTTTGTCGTCCATGGGTTGATGGAGGAGAGATTGACGACAGCTAGCTTGTTCTTGGAGGGGAAGACATGGACATGGTACTAGTGGAGAGACATGTGATGGCACATACGGAGTTGGAGGGAGTTTAAGGACTGCTTGCTAGAACGTTTTTGAACCAGCTGGGGAGGGGACTTCTATGAGCAGTTCTTCGCTCTGATGCATGAGGGATTGATGGTGTAGTACTATGAGAGGTTTGAGTAACTTGCCAGATGGCTGGACTGGCTGTCGGAGATTATTAGAGTGGAACTTTATGAAAGGGATCAAATTAGAGATTCTGGGTGCAATTAGAGTGATTAGGTCTTGTGATTTGAGAGAGACTATGGAGCTATCCCAATTAGTCTCCGATCATAAGCACCTGGAAAGAGAAGCTAAAGGCAGCAGTTCAGGAGGTTCGTATAGGATAACCACCACCTTTTTAGCCCTCAAGGGGCCGACACCGGGTATTCCTTGGGAGACCACGAAGGAGATCATAGGAGGGGGAACTGGGGGAAACTTCAAGAAGCTCACCGAGGAGCTATAGGAGAAGAGGGAGAAAGGACTATTTCATATGTGATGGAGGTATACACCAGGGCACATGCGTAAGGACTAAACTCTTTAGATTCTCACTGTCTGTGATGGTGAGGAAGCTGAGGAGGGAGTTGGAGTGAGACAGTGGTAGAGGAGGAAGAGTTGCATTTAGATGTGGCAGAGGTCTCCTAGAACTCAGTGTTGGAATTTTAATCCAAATCACCCCATGAAAGAAGTGATAAACAATAGATAGGGAGGTAGTAGTGTTGATAGATTGTAGGACTACTCACAATTTTATCTCCAACCAGGTCGTAGATCAATTAAGGGTAAAAGTGGCGGACACAGGGTGCTATGGGGTGATAATGGGCACAAGGAAGGTGAAGACAGGTATTGGGGGGTGTAGGGGAGTGATTCTGACCATACAGGGGGTCCATGTGAGGGAGGAATTGCTTCCATTAGAGCATTGATGCCATCTTTGTGATAAAATGACTACAGACCTTGGGGGATATCAATCTCAATTGGGGAGCACTGACGATGAAACTGTTGGTGGAGGGATGAAGGGTGATGATCAGGGGAGATGTAGGGTTATCTAAAGATATGATGTCTCTCAAAATCATAGTGAGGATCATGAGGAAGTAGGAGGATTTCTGGTGGAACTGCAGAGCTTAGTGGGGATCAGATGTAGGGTGGAACTGCAGAGCTTCAGTAAAATTGCTTATATAGTAGTTCAACAAGGTTTTTTCATCCACCTCAAGAATTGCCACCATCGAGAGAGCAGGAGCATGCCATCATCTTGAGGGAAGGGGTAACCAATTAGTGTTAGGCCTTATCGCTACTCTCAGATCCAGAAGAATGATATTGAGAAGCTGATTCGGGAGAGGTTAGATGCAGGGATCATCAGGCAGAGTGTGAGCCCTTTTACTATCCCAATCTTACTAGTTAAGAAGAATGATCAGAATTAGAGATTTTGTGTGGACTACTAGGCCCTGAATAAGAAAACTGTGCTAGAAAAATTTCCTATTTTAGTGATAGATGAGTTATTGGATGAGTTATAGGGAGCAATGGTATTCATGAAGATAGATCTAAAGTCTGGATACCATCATATTAGGATGAGAAAGGATGATATCTCAAAGATTGCTTTCAGGACATATGAGAGAGATGTTGTTTGGCCTCACCAATGCTCTTGTTATGTTCTAGTCCCTCATGAATGGGTGTTTCGACCATAGCTCAGGAGATTTGTATTGGTTTTCTTTGATGATAACCTGGTGTATGACAGGTCGAACGAGGTGCATTTGGAATACTTGAAGGTGGCGTTGGAGGAGTTATGGGAGCATCAACTATGGGCCAACCTAAAGAAGTATTGCTTTGCACAGTCCAGTGTGGAGTACTTGAGGCACGTGGAATCTCAGGAGAGGATGACCGCTGATCAGGCTAAAATTGAGACTATGATGAAATGGCATTTACTTGGGACTTTGAAAGATCTGAAGAGTTTCCTAAAGTTGACCGAGTATTACAAGAGATTTGTGAGGGGATATAACACTATCACATGGCTATTGACAGAGCGGCTAAAAAGGATAGTTTTATGTGGGCGAGGCAGCTATCCAAGGCTTTGAGAGACTGAAGAAGACCATGACCACGGTACCAATCCTGCCTACTAGATTTCAGCAAGGTTTTGGTGGTGGAGACTGATGCATCAGGTTATGGATTGGGGGTAGTGTTCATGAAGAATCACAAGCCCATAGCTTACTTTAGTCAGGTGATAGAGGAGAGGGGCAGGGTGTTGGTTGAGCTAAAAAAATATTTGTTGAGGGCTCAGTAGATCAAGTAGAAGCTGACAGATAGATGTAGAAAGGACATCCAATTGGAGATAGGGGATAGGGTCTACTTGAAGCTTTCTCCCTATAGACAAAGGATGACAGCTAATAGGTGAAATGAGAAGTTGGCCCTAAGGTATTTTTGTCCTTATTAGATACTGGTGAGGATTGGAGCAACAACTTATCGCTTCAAGTTTCCCCAAAATGTTACTATACATTCAGTGTTCCTTGGTCACAGTTGAGGTGAACTATCGGGGATCATTTGTGGGCTCTAAAAATTTGCACGCTGGCCTCTCTGCGGATCCTCTTTCTTTTTCATTTTTTCTTCGAGTCGTCAAGGAAAGTTTAATGTTTAGATTCCAGGGCAAATTTCAGAAAGCATATTGGGTTTTACAATAAGACACTACTTAGAGATTTTACGCTCATTTTGCGAGGACTTTATAATATGAGTTTTGGTTTTCTATAGGCGCAAGCCCCTGTAATTAATTTCCCCTCCCAATAATGAGAGAGAACTTTTGATTAAGGCTAGTCGTCAAACATATACGTGGTATCTGGCGTATAGTAGCAGCAGGACATAGGTATTTAAGAATTTTGATATTTAAAATTAAAAATTCACCACCTTGCACTTATAGCGGATGATGAGGGGAGTGATGATGAACATGATCACGATCCCATGGTTCTGTCGTTTAGAGAATTGTGCGTTTGCTACTCATTTCGATTTGTCTAAAGCCAAGGAGTGGTTATTGCTATTCTTTTAAACCAAAGTGGAGAGTGCACTACTTCTCCTTTGCTTCTGTAAACTGAAAACTAAAGGGCAGCCTAACTCATTCTTTCTACAGTCAAGAGAAGGTAGAAAGCTTCTACTCCCTTTCTAGCTCCAGCGATGATGCATGGATATTTTGGCTTATTTTCATTTTATTGTAATTTGAATATTATAGTTGTAGTTTATGTTTTTTTTATGTTATCCAATGATTGAAAACATCCAATGTTCATGAGTAGGATGTGCTTGGGCATGGCAAACCTTGGGTGTGCTAGCTTTTTTGGTTCTATGGTCTTTGGGTTGCTTGTTGTCTCTCGGGTTGGGCTTTGGCTGCTCTCGAGTTGGACTTTGGCTGCTTTGGTTTTGAGCTAATAAGTTGGATCTACTTGGTGTTAGCTCATTAATGCTTGAGATGATGTTTAGCTCATTATTTGGAGGAGTAATTGCACTATTTAGCTCATAAATTTAAAAAGGTATTCTTCTTTTAGCTCTTTATGTGGAGTTGGAGCTTGCCTCTTCTCGTTCTTTGAGTCCCCTCGTTTTCTCCTTGGTGCTGTTCCCGTGGCTGGTTCTCCTCCCTTTGCTGGATGCTGGTTCCGGTCCCCTGTGTTGTCTTTTCGGTTTCTTCCCTGGCTATTTTCCCGTAGCTATCTCTACCCGGTTCCTGTGCTGTCTTTTCTGGTGTTGTTT